TACATTTCACATTTGTTAGCTGTTTACGACTCCCCCGGCACGAGTTAGTAAATTATAAAAAAGCCTCTCCCCCCCTACAATACTGTTCCCGTGGCCTCAGCGTCACGCTTTCTCGTCCTGGTTCCTACTCATCGGCTTCGCGTTTTTGGTTTTCTACCTCTTCTCACTATACAGCCTCCCCCTTGGCAACCGACAGCCCCGCCAGTCGCGGGTCAGGATTACGCAGTTGGCGGGTCTCCCGGCGCGGCGGTCTTTCGGTCCCGCCCCGCACGCGTGCAGGTCCCGGGGTTGCCTTTTGGAGGCCGGCGGCGGGTCGCCCTCGCAAGGTGATGGGGGTCGCCCCGCCCGCCCCGGATGCGGAGCGTCAGGTCGCTGTCCCAGCCGCGGAGGGTGCGGGGCGAGAACCCCCCAGGCCTCCCGGCCCCCGCCCCCTCTGCTGATGGTGTGACTGAGCCGCGGGGAAGGGCCCTGGGCACCATTCATCTAAAGGTTGGAGAACGGATGCTTCAAGTTCTCCCAGCGTCATGAACAGCTTACAGAACTCCTACTCGAGTCAGCACAAAAGTCTCCAGCGGAAACCATCCAGGAACGAGGAGACCCACACACGGTCCCAGTTTGCTGCGCTCCCGTTACTCGGGATGATCATGGGCGCTGCGGCACGTTTTGCTGGATGGCCGAAGACGTAGAGGCGTTGGTGTAATTCTAGGTCCACCGTGCCATACATTTACTTATTCTTTAAATATGACGGGAATAACTGCGATTTGCTAACATTATCGAATGTCTATAACGTGGGAGACACCATGCTAGGGACAAAGAGGGGGAGCCAATATTGCCCCTATTTATTTAAGAGATTTTTAGACACAAATCAGCGCAGTGATAAGTTCCAAGTAGCAGCATGCAGACTGCGTTTCCTCCACCTGCGGGGCGGGGGTCTGAAATAGCTGAGCTAAGGTTTAAACAGAGAGCAGTTCCATTAGAAGCAGGTGCATCTGGAGGTGCAGTTAGCGGCGTGGTTCAGAAGCCCAATGCGAGGATTGCAGACAGTTCCTAAGCCTCGGCCTCTCCTTCAGCCTCCCTGGAAGCTCACCTCTCCCCTTTTCTTTAAAAAAGAAATTTCTCTCTCTTTTTTAAATTAAACACGTTATTTACATTATTCTAATTCTTTATTGTTTAAAGTATTACATACAGTATTACATATGTCTCCCTTTTACCCCATTGACCTCTCCCTGGCCAACCCCAACCCCTATTTATTTATTTTTAAATCCTCACCGGAGGATATTTTTCCGTTGATCTTTTAGAGAGAGTGGAAGAGAGTGGGAAAGACAGAACTATCGATTGATGTGAGAGAAACACATCAATTAGTTGCCTCCTGCACGAGCCCGACCAGGGCCTGGGCCAAGGGTGAAGCCTCCAATTGAGGTACGTGCCCTTGACCAGAATCGAACCCAGGGCCCTTTGGTCCGCAGGCCTATGCTCTATCCACTGACCCAAACCGGCTAGGGCTGGACCCTCCCTTTTTAAAAACTATTTTTTAAATTGATTTTTATAGAGAATGGAAGGGAGAGGGTGAAAGAAATATCGATGTGAGAGAGAATATCAATCAGCTGCCTCCTACATGCCTATCAGTGATTGAGTCTGAAACCCAGGCTCGTGCCCTGATGGGGAATTGAACCAGCAACCTTTTGGTGCACGGGATGACGCCCAACAACTGAGCCAAACAGGCCAGGGCTCACCTCTCTTTAATATATTCTCATGAGTAAGAATGTAATGGAGAATACCAATTCTTAAGAGAATGGGAGCCCAGCTGGCGTGGCTCAATGGTTGAGCATCGACCTATGAACCAAGAGGTCAAGATTTTTTTTAAAAATATATTTTATTGATTTCTTACAGAGAGGAAGGGAGAGGGATAGAGAGTCAGAAACATCGATGAGACAGAGAGAGACATCGATCAGCTGCCTCCTGCACACTCCCCACTGGGTATGTGCCCGCAACCAAGGTACATGCCCTTGACCAGAATTGAACCCTGGACCCTTGAGTCTGCAGGCCGACGCTCTATCCACTGAGCCAAACCGGTCAGGGCAAGAGGTCAAGATTTGAATCCTAGTCAGGGCACATGCCTGGGTTGCAGGCTTGATCAATGATTCTCTCCCATGTTTACTTGGCCCATGTTAGCTTTTGAGTCTGACATGCTTGCTGTGGAGATTCTGGTGAATCCCAAGGTTCTAAGGAATGGTTTCAACAACCAGCCTTTGTGCAGGATGGGAACCAGGAAAGACGGGTGTTCTCCCTAGAGCAGCGTTGTCCAGTGGAAACGTCTACCAATGAGAATGTTCTAGGTCTGCTTGTCCAGTACACAGCCATAAGCTACAAATGATATCAAGCACCTGAAATGCAGCTAGTACAACTGAGACTGAATTTTTTTATTGTCATGAAATTCAAACAGCCACGTGGGGCTAGTGGTTCTTGTGATGCACGGTGTACCTTTACACTACGGTGTCGGGTGAATTTCCCGCCAAAATATAAGATGGCGCGGGCAATTATTTAGGTTTCCCGCGCAAAATCAGAGTTAGTTTAAAATGCCTATATCTTTTGAAGTATGGGTTCGCATACACAGGTAGGTATCTTTGTGAACGGCAAACAAACAAATATTTGGTAATACGCAGTTACAATCGGCCCGAGTTTACACGTTTCCCGCACTCCACCGCAAATCTATATGAACCGAGTTAAGACGGCTCCCGCGGAGTACGCGCAATTCACGCGAGCCGACTTAACTCGTTTCCCGCACTCCAAGTGTTTAAAGCTTTGCCATTAACGCGACTCAGCTGCAGTTATTCTCAGCTTCTGTCTCAGTTCAAAATTGCAAATCTCTTGGAGGGAACACGCAAATGGTGCAGTTTGGGTAAGAGGTTCTCTCCGGGATCGGCCAGCCATGGCTAGGATCACACAGTACAGAAATGGCTGCTGAGGGCTTGTCTGGGTTTCTGAGTCTTGGTGCATGATCAAGTCGGCCACAGTGGCTTCCAGCCCAAGGGAAGGAGAAAGAGAGCGTGCACAGTCTCAAGACCTGGGCCCAGAAATAACGGTTTTTCAGCTTATGTTGCTTTGGAGAGACTTAATTCTGTGGTCACACCTAACTGCAAGGGAGGTTGGGAAATGTAGGTTAGCAATGTGCCCTGTAAGACTGAAAAAATAATTTTAAATTTTTTTATTGATTTTGGAGAGGGAGATAGAGAGAGAGAGAGAGAGAGAGAGGGAGAGAGAGAAACATTAATGATAAAGAATCATTGATCAACTGCCTCCTGCACGCCCCACTCTGGGATTGAGCCTGCAATCCGGGCATGTGCCCTGACCTGGAATGGAACCATAACCTCCTGGTTCATAGTTCAACACTCAACCATTGAGCCATGCAGGCTGAGCTGAAAAAATGTTTTTTGGTTTTTTAAAAATATATATTTTATTGATTTTTCCACAGAGAGGGGAGAGGGATAGAGTCAGAAACATCGATGAGAGAGAAACATCAATCAGCTGCCTCCTGCATGGCCCCTACTGGGGATGTGCCCACAACCAAGGTACATGCCCTTGACTGGAATCAAACTTGGGACCCTTGAGTCCACAGGCCGACGCTCTATCCACTAAGCCAAACCAGTCAGGGCGAAAAAATGTTTTTAAAATGGGCAATTAGTAGTTTTGTTTTCTTATATTTTTATTGATTTCAGAAAGGAAGAGGAGAGGGAGATAGAAACATCAATGATGAGAGGGAATCATTGCTTGCCTGTCTCCTGCACATCCCGTACTGGGGATGGAGCCCAAAATCCAGGCATGTGCCCTTGACCAGGAATCAAACCTGGGACCCTTCAGTCCGCAGGCCGACGCTCTATCCACTGAGCAACCCGGCTAGGGCAGGCAATTAGTTTTTAGTACAAGTGGTTAGAATACAAAAAATAATAATACATATTTCCTGCCTTCAAGAATATCACAGGTTTGGTGAGGAGACAGATGAATAACTAGCAATGAGTAAGGAACATGCTGTACGAACTTAAAGAAAAGCATGGCTTAGAGCAGTATTTCTCAAACTTTAATGTATTACGAACCACCTGGAAATCTTGTTAAAATGTCGATTCTGACTCAGGGCGGGGGGCAGTGTATGCAGATGATGCCAATGTTGCTGGTCCTTGGTCCTGTCTTTGAGGAGCAAGTGATTGCAGATTCGGCAACACCATAGAGGGAATGGCATTTACACCACACCTTTGCTCATAGCATAGTGATTAAGAGACTTTCAGTTTAAGTAGACATGACAGAATCTTAAATTTACAGAATTAACCAAGTATTCATACATTCATTATTCACATTAAAAAATTTAATTGAAAATCTAAAAAATATGAGAGGTAGTTGTATATTTTAACATTCTAGTAAATATTATAAATTAGAGGTTATAGGAGAAAGGGAGCTAAATTCTAAGAGAATAAATATGTGAAGGACAACTCATGATCTTGGGGGAAAAATAAAAGTGGAAGGA